GTGTACCACCACACCCAGCGCTGGTTGAATGAGATCTCATGAACTTTTTCCTGGGCTGGTCTAAAGTTGGAAACCTCCAAATCTCAGACTCACAAAGAGCTGGGATGACAGGTGTGACCCCTTGCTCCTTTTTTTCCTTCTCATGTTTTTCTGTCCCTGATTTCCAGGAGGCAAGATCATCTTGGCCTGCCGTGACATGGACAAGTGTGAAGCAGCGGCCAGGGACATTCGTGGGGAGACGCTCAACCATCGTGTGAGCGCCTGGCACTTGGACCTGGCTTCCCTCAGATCCATCCAAGAGTTTGCAGTGAAGGTCACTGAGAGTAGGTGGACAGTGCTGGCTTGGCAGGCTGAGGTCTGGGGTGGCTACTGCCTGGGGCTAACCTCTCTACCTAGATTCTGGTCTCACTGTGTCTAGCACTGCCAGCACTTGCTGTCCCCCCTGCCACTGGTTCTCCTGGCAGTGCCTGTCACTGGAGGGTTCTTGATTGTGTGTTGGCTGTCAGCCATGCTGGCTGGAATGTCCATTCTAGAAAGGCAGGCCCTTAACCATGTCATCCACCCCGTGTACCCAGTGCCTGGTAACAGGTGCTTCGAAAATACTTTTTCCATGCGTAATAATTACATGTTTCCACCAGGCTGGTGCTATTATCTTTTCTTTACAAAGGAGGAAAGTGAGTCATGGAAAGCTATGTGATCTGTTCTGGGTCAGAGCAGGGCCAAGATTTGAACCCTGGTCAGCTCCAGAACTTGTGACTTTGCCTGACCAAGGTGAAAGAGATGGTGGTCCATGTGTGGTAGGGGTCTGTGCGGCTCAGGTGTGCTCCCCTGAAAAGAAACACTGGGGTCCTGGCCCCCAGCTGACCTTGTTTGGAGGCAGAATTTTACACACACACACACACACACACACACACACATACACGTAATCAACTTACATTGAGCTCACTAGGGTGGGCCCCAGTTCAACACACCTGTTGTCTTTGAAAAAGGAAATTGGGAGCAGTTTCAGATGTACAAGTCTATAATCCCTGTGGCTCAAGGGAGAGGTGGGAGGATGAGTCTGAGGCCAGCCCAGAAAAAACATGAATCTCTAGATTAAAAGGAAAAGGACTAGGGTGTGGCTCAAGTGGTTTTGCCAATAGTGCTACAAAAAAACAGAAAACAAAAAAACCCCCCACAACCAAATAAAAAGTTCAGCTGGGCACTTGTAGCTCATGCCTGAAATCCTAGCTAATCTAGAGGCTGAGAGCTGAAGATCAAAGTTCAAAGCTAGCCCAGGCAGGAAAGTCTTTGAGACTCTTATCTCCAATTAACCACCAGAAAAGTGGCACTGTGGCTCAAAGTGGTAGAGCATTAGCCTTGAGCAGAAAAGCTCAGGGATAGTGTCCAAGCCTCGAGTTCAAGCCCCATGACTGACAAAAAAAATAAAAAAGGAAATTGAAGCATAGAGGCAGGGACCAATGTACATAGAGGGAAATAGATGTGGGGAACACAGGGAGAAGACAGCCACAAACAAGGAGAAAGGTGGGATGGATTCTGCCTCCAGCTCATTAGGAACTCCTGGGGCCACACCTCAACCCAGGGTTTCCAGCCTCTGCTCTGCCCTCACCAGGTGTCTCCTGTTTGCCCTGTGTGTGGGCCTGAGGGCTTCTCTGGGACACCAGGGGAGATGGGTAGAACCCACCCTAATCCTGATGGGATTAGATGACCTATGCCCAGACCCTGTTTCCAAAAGAGGCCACCTTCCCAGGGCCACTGTCCTCAGCCCTGAGGACCCATCTCCATCCTCACCTGTCTTCCAGAGGAGGAGCGAGTGGACATTCTCATTAACAATGCGGCCGTGATGCGGTGCCCACACTGGACCACTGAGGATGGCTTCGAGATGCAGTTTGGTGTCAACTATCTGGGTGAGCTCTGAGCTGAGGACTGTGATTCTCTTGTTTGCCTGGACTGAGGCTGGGTTCCACCAGGGGTCTGTGTGGGACCTAGCGTGCTTGGGGGAGGGGGGGACTTGCTCCACTCTCAAGACAGCTGGCTGCTCCTGTGGGTGACCTGACAGCTCAGGAAGAGCCTTCATTTGGGTACCAGAGTCTGTGGGTGCTCACGTGACTTACATGAGAACATTTGTGTAGGGCTTGATACACCCTGCAGACCTCTTTCACATAGAGGACTCTTTAATTCTTCATGTGATGGAAGTGCTGTGGACAGCAAGAGTCTGCTCATGGCACATTGCCTGTGTAGGCTTTTTCTCAGTGATCGCCAAGGCAAGATGAGTCTGTAGATGTGCAGTCAGCTTCCAGATGCGAGGCTGGGATAAACTGTGTACTGAAAGTGAGTTTTCACTTTCTTGTGGACTTGGAAAAGTAGGATGCCCGTATGTTGCTGGTGGGAATGAAAAATAAGTGGGGCTTGGTTGTTGGGGACCCTCGTACAGGTCACTTTCTCCTAACTAACCTGCTGATGGACAAGCTGAAAGCTTCAGCCCCCTCCCGTGTCATCAACCTCTCATCCCTGGCCCACATTGCCGGGCACATAGACTTCGATGACCTGAACTGGCAGAAGAGGAAATACAATACCAAAGAAGCCTACTGCCAGAGCAAGCTGGCCGTAGTCCTCTTCACCAAGGAGCTGAGCCGGCAGCTACAAGGTGTGTTGAGTGCCCCGCCTCACTTGTCTTCCTCCTCCTGGAACATCTCTTCTAAAACTCTTGGCTGATAAGACAGGCAGTAGTTCCAGATGGTGTAAAGAGGTGGCTCTCATATGTCTGTGCCCGAGGCAGACATTACTAATCACACCGCATGTCCACCTCTGTGCTCAAGGCAGGCTTCATTAATCAGTCACATCACATGCCCACCTCTGTGCCCAAAGCAGGCATCAATAATCAGTTATAATACATCTCCACCTCTGTGCCCAAGGCAGGCATCACTAACCAACCTTACCACATGCTCACCTCTATACCCAAGGCAGACATCACCAATCAGTCACTGTTCTAATGAGTGGCCATCACCAGGCCTGTCATGGACAGGCTTCTAAGCCAGTGGTTCTCACCTGGGAGTGATTTCCGTCCCTAGAACACATGTGGCATGTCTGTGGCCATGGTTATCATAGCTGGATGTGGGAGGGGATGCTCCTGGTGACTCTCGTGCTGAATCCAGGTGTGGAGTTCACCACTGTGCCTTGCACCAGTCTGTGTCCAAGGCAGCTGTGCTGGGTGGGTGGCCATGTAGCACAGCTGCTTTGTAAGAGGGAGCTACTTGACACAGGTCCCAGAGGAAGGATGGCATGGGTACCATGTGGGCTGCAGGGCCTCCCGGGGAGGGGTGAACCTGGTATCCACCTCCTCTTCACCCCCACTGTGTATTTCCACAGGCACAGGCGTGACTGCCAATGCCCTGCACCCTGGCGTGGCCAGGACAGAGCTGGGCCGGCACACGGGCATGCACAAGTCTGCCTTCTCCAGCTCCCTGCTTGGTGAGTCCCTGCACGGTACCCCCCTTCCCCCTCCCCCTCCTGGCTTAGAACCTCAGTTTCTCATCTACAGCCAGGACCAGAATAGGACCTACCTGACAGTCTCAGCCAAATGAGACCCTCCTGTGCTGGGGCCTGGCCCAGGGTACAGTATAAGCCAAATAAACCAAGCCTGGGAAGGTGGCTCAGTGGTAGAGCGCTTGCCTTGCATGCCTGAGGCCCTGGATTCCTCAGTACCACATAAGCCAAAAGTAAAAAGCCAGAAGTGGCGCTGTGGCTCAAGTGGTAGAGTGCTAGCCTTGAACTGAAGAGCTGAGGGACAGCGCCCAGGCTCAGAGTTCAGGCCCCACAACTGGACCTCCCCCCGAAAAACCCCCCAAAACCAAGCCTTGTTACTTGTAGGAGTTTTTAGTGGGACCAAGACTTTTAATGCACGAGGTGCATTTACTAGGTCAAAATTGTCTTCAGGGGGATGGGACAGGAAATGGGATGGCCTTCTGCAGGCTTCAGGGCTTCAGGTTTTGGGCTGGTCCCTGGGGTGGGCCAGTGGCCTGGGATGGGCTCTAGGGCCCCAGGGCCTCTGTGGGTGGAGGCTGCGTGGACTGAGTGCCCGTGTGCTGGTTGCAGGGCCCTTCTTCTGGCTGCTCTTCAAGAGCCCCCAGCTGGCGGCCCAGCCCAGCACGTACCTGGCCGTGGCAGAGGAGCTGGAGGGCGTTTCCGGAAAATACTTTGATGGATTCAAAGAGAAGGTGCCAGCCCCTGAGGCCGAAGACGAGGAAGTAGCTCGGAGGCTTTGGGCTGAAAGTGCCCGCTTGGTGGGCTTGGATGTGTCCCATTGGTCCCCTGGGAGGGGACATGTCCAGTCCAGGTGACTTCCACTGGATCTGACCCAGGACAGACCTGTGGCAACACTGCCGTCCTCCTCCAGGGGGCACAGCAGCGGTGAGGTGAGCGAGCCTTCCGGCTGGAGACGCTGCTGTGCTCCTGCCTCGTCCTCTTGGGGCAGTGTTGGTTCTGTCCTATCTGGCCCAGTGGTTTAGACTGCAGGTGGGTGCTGGCTGGCTGGTGTGTGCCCTGCTGACATCCGAAGGGGAGGAGGCCTGTCAGGTGGCAGGGGCCGGGGCGGTGGACTCCTGTGTGGCTTCCCGCACCTTCTCTGAACTGGGGCTCTGCAGAACAAGTGTGGAGAGCTTGAGGTCTGGCTGCAGGCGCGGTGAAGGGAGCTGGCATCCATGGGCATCATGCCCAGGCCCTGCTGTTCTGGCCCAGGGCCTGGGTTCCTAAAGGAGGTGGATGCAGACCCAGCCTGGTACCACAGGGCCCCCAGGGCCACAGGGACTGAAATCTATGTCCGCCTGGTGGCGGGCTGCGATCACGACCTCCTTCCAGTTCCTGTGGTTGCTCCAACCTCAGACTTCATTTTTAGTAATAAAAATCCCCAAGGTGTCTTGGAGTTGTGGGTCCTGTTCTCTGCGCATGGGGGAAGGACGGCTGTGTGCTCCCTTTGACACTGTCACAGGGGCTAATGCAGCCGGTGCTGGAGCCTGGAGGAGGTGGAGGCCATGTCTCTGCAGCGGCCACTGATGTCCAGTCTTAGGTACGTCCCTGTTAGGTGTGACAGTCTCTTGACAGGGCGCAGAATCCAGGGACCTCCTGAAAGCTCTGTAATTTAGAACATGGATGCCAGAGATGGAGCTCTGAGTCCTATGGCCCCCAGGAGCCAGAGGCTTGGGGTGGCTGCCCTGTCCAGACTAGGAGGGGGGTGGGGTGGGGGCTGTGGCTCCTGCTGGTGCACCCCCAGTGTGGCTCAGTGGTGAGCACAGAGGATACGCTCAGAGAAGCATTCAGACATCCACATGCTGAACACGGTTCATTCTTGAGCGCCCAAATGCTCTTCCCTAGGGGCTGTGCCATGTTATAGCCATAGCACCAGGGCCCCAGAGCCTCCACAGCCTCATCAGCGTTCATTTTCCAGATTAGAATATTAGTTCAGGGCTGGGAAGGTGGCTCCCAGTGGTAGAGTGCTTGCCTAGCATGCGTGAAGCCCGGGTTCGATTCCTTAGTACCACATACGCAGAAAAAAGCCGGAAGTGGTACTGGGGCTCAAGTGGTAGAGCCCTGGCCTTGAACCAAAGAAGCTTAGGAACAGTGCCCAGGCCCTGAGTTCAAGCCCCAGGACTGGCAAAAAACAAACACATTGTCATAGGCATCTCGCAAGGTGCAAAGCACATTTCTCTAGTGGCTGTGGGGAGTGTGTGGGGGACAAAGACGCCACTCTGGAGGCAGAGGATGATGGGATACCAGGCTGCCCAGAGGAGATAAGTGGAGCCCCTTGAGGTTTGTGTGCAAGTCTTCCTGCCACAGGGACAGGCTTGGCTTGATTAGCATCGGTCAGGGAGAGCCAGGGCTGGGGAGGAAGGGAGGAGGCCATCTCCCATCCCCTCCTCCTGCCCTCTGCTCCCAGCTCCCAGCTCCCAGCCTTCCTCCCTCTTTGGCCGCCGCAGAGCTCAGGACAGGCCGGGCAGCCATGTTACCATCCCTGAGAGCCCTCGTCTGCCTTGGTGAGTCCCGGGAAGGGCCGCGGGAGGGGCCCAGTGCTCCCCACCAAAGGCCAAACAAACTGCTTCTGTGGTGAATTCAGGCGTAGCAGGGACCTTGAAGGGCTGGTCGCCTTTTGTGTGGGAAATTGGAGGCCCAGGGAGGTGGTATGTTTTGTCTGAGCTATTCCAAGTTGTGAGGTCTGGCCCCTGGTGAGGATGTACACTCGCGTGGGCTCCCACTTTCCTCCATGCCCCACAATTCCTTGTGTAGAGGAGAATGCGGATGCATGTGGTCACCATGCTGGTCCTTCTTTCCTCAGGACTGTGTCTTGGGCACTTGATCACGGCCCACAGCGGTGAGTTCTTCTCCCTTACTCCTGGGATGCTTCCTCTGGGTCCACCAGATGTGGGACCCTGGGAGAGGCGCCCTGTTGGCGGTGGGCTGACCTCCATCCTATGCTTGCTTTCCAGGCCGACTCCCTAAGCCTTCCCTGCAGGCTCTGCCCAGCAGCCTGGTGCCCCTGGGCGGCTCGGTGACCATCCTCTGCCAGGGCCCGTGGCCTGTGGATGAGTACCGCCTGGAGAATCTGAGGTCCAAGATGTTTGCAGACCAGGACTCTCTCTCCATCTCAATCATGAGCAGAAGCGATGCTGGGCGCTACCGCTGCTCCTACCAGAATGGGAGCCTCTGGTCCCCGCCCAGTACCCAGCTGGAGCTCATCGCCACTGGTGACTGGAGGGGAGTGTGGGAGGTACCTGCCAGACCCCGGCTACTCAGACTCAGCCCTGGGGCTGGGGGAGGGTAAAAAGTTTCTGTGACTGGGCGCCCGTGGCTCACACCTGTCATCTTAGCTACTTAGGAGGCTGAGATCTGAGGATCACAGTTCAAAACCAGCCTGGGCAGGAAAGTCTATGAGACTCTTATCTCCAACACCCCCCTCTCCCTCCCCCCCATAGAAAACCGGAAGTGGTGCTGTGGCTCAAGTGGTAGAGTGCCTCACCTTGAGCTGAAGAGCTGAGGGACAGTGCCCAGGCCCAGAGTTCAAGCCCCACAACTGACCAAAAAAACCCAAAGTTTGTATGTAAGGGCTGGGGAAGTGGCTCAGTGGTAGAATGCTTGCCTCCCAGCATGAAGCCCTGGGTTCGATTCCTCAGCACCACATACACAGAAAAAGCCAGAAGTTGCACTGTGGCTCAAGTGGTAGAGTGCTAGCCTTGAGCCAAAAAAGCTCAGGGACAGCACCCAGGTCTTGAGTTCAAGCCCCAGGACTGGCACAAAATCCAAACCCAAAAACTCATTGAGGGGAATGTCTCTCAATGTAGGCATTGTGGCGTGAGTGCAGCCATGTCCTCTCGGACATTCTAAGTATGGGAAGTGGTGACCCCTAGGAGGGAGGTGACCCCCTGGGACAGGGCAGGGGGGGCTGTGGAAGGGAGGGGCAGCAGGAAGTTCCTGAGCTGAATGGTAGGTGAGGTGGGGGGCATCCCTGCTCCACAAGGGAGGCCCTGGGCCCATCTTTACTAAACCCTCTTCCCTCCCAGGAGTTTATACCAGGCCCTCGCTCTCGGCTCATCCTGGCCCCTCCGTTTCCCCAGGAGGGAATGTGACCCTACAGTGTCAGACCAGATATGGCTTTGACCAGTTCGCATTGTCCAAGGAGGGGGACAGAGGATCCCACGAGGTGCTCAGGAGATTGTCCCAGCCTGACTTCCTCATGGCCGCTGTGACAGCTGCCCACAGTGGGGCCTACCGCTGCTACAGCTTCTCCAGCAGAGAACCGTACCTGTGGTCTGCGCCCAGCGAGCCCCTGATGCTCACTGTCACAGGTGAGGGCTGCAGACCCAGGCCTCTGCCTGGCCTTCACAGACCTGTGTCAGGATCTGAGAAACCATTACTGTAAAACCTGGATCCTTCTTCAGTCTTCCTGCCCACAGCGAATCATTGCATTTATATCAGATTGTTGCTGTTTTGTTGGTCATACAGCTTGAACTCTGGCCCTGGGTACTGTCCCTGAGCTCTTCAGCTGAAGGCTAGCACTATGCCACTTGGAGCCACAGTGCCACTTCTGGTTTTCTGGTGGTTCATTGGAGATAAGAGTCTCATGGGCTCTCCTGCCTGGGTTGGCTTTGAACCACGATTCTCAGATCTCAGCCTCCTGAGTATCTAGGATTACAGACATGAGCCACTGGTGCCTGGCTGGTTTTATATCTTTTAATAGTTCTTTTTCAGTGTAATTCCAAGGATGTAACACAATCCAAATAAAAATGAATCATCCAGTTTGCTAAAAACAAACACCAAGTGGTAATTATTAGGGAATCAAAATTAGTGAAGAGTTATTACTCCCCCCCCCCCATTTTCTGGTGCTTCTGGACTCTGTAATCTTAATTTTTTAGAGAACAGAAACAAACATTATTAAAGAAGTGATTTTTTTTTGTTTGTTTTTGGTAACCCAAGTAAAGTGGTACACTTAATGTATGGTATTGTAACCATGACTAAAAGTAAAACGAGGAAGTGGCTCTGTGGCTCAAGCGGCAGAGCACTCTCCTTGAGCTGAGGAGCACAGGGACAGCGCCCAAGCCCAGAGTTCAAGCCCCACGACCGACAAAAAAAAATACAAAAGTAAAATAAAGGTACAGGTGGGGTTGCAGCTCAGCAGTAGAGCTCACGCTAGGAGCACCCACCTGGGTTCTAATCACAGCAGCAAGATAAGAATTAACTAATGAACAAGAGGAAAGACACAGCATATGCTTTTCTACTATGACAATTGTAGAGTATAAAGAGCATCTATTAGTTTAGTTGTTCAAGAGAGTTTTGCTTGGATGTACCCATATTCTTTGATCAGACTCATCCCCCTTCCCTCTCCCCAGATCCACCTCGGAAATCTTCCCTGTTCCATTGCACATATGGACATGAAGTACACCATGTTTACCCTCCTTCGCCCTCTCCCTCAATTCCTGTCTCCACTTCTACCCGATCCCAGGCTCAACCCATTTTACATCCTGTCATTGATTGTCTTTTTCAGCGTTTTCTCATTGCTCAAAGGGTTTTACTGTGGCACTATATGCGTGTACATACGGTATTTGGTTTGGATTTAATCATTCACTCTTAACTCCCTGATTCCTCTTATTTAGCAGCTTTTTGTATCTGTCTAGAAGCTTCTCTGTACTCATTCTCTATGTAAGGAAACTGAGCCAGGCATCAGGAATGTTGCATGGTTTTTCCAGGTCCCATGGCTGGCAGAGCACAAACTTCTTTCCTTTTCCACCTTCCCAGGAGCCTCTGCGATCCCTGGGCAGCTGCCCATAGAGCCTCAGTCCTTCCCCCCTGGTGAGTTCATGAGGGTCCGCTCCTGCTGGCTGGAGCATGGGATCCCTCTTCCCTCTCTCTCATCAGTCTACATTTCTTGAACACTTAACGTTTGCACAAAATCCTGTTCATGACCGTGTTTAAATCACAATAACCTCAGAAGAGATATCTCCATGTCTGCCGTTCATGACTGTGCCAATTGTTTCCAGCCATGGAGAGACAGGGGCTTAAGTCTCAGGTTCTTTTGAATCTGTCTTGTGCCTGGTAGTGGGCCATCAGAGAAAGAAGGTTTAGGGAGCCCAGGTATCCAAAGGGGGTCTGGAGTGTAGAAACTTCTGGAAAGAACTGATGATACTTCCTTCACCATCACAGAAGCCTCCAGGAATCCGGTCATCTCACCCGCCACAGAAGTTTCCACGACTGGTAAGTGACGGGACACTTAAAGCTGGGCAGAAAGGAGTGTGCTGGTGGTGCTGTGTGCTTGTAATCTGCTCCCTTGGGCCTCTGACCCTATCCTGGGAAAGCTCAGTCTGATACAATGCCTGGAGACTTGGAGCGCCTGAAAAGACCACCAGGGACCAAAGATCAATGCAAGCGACAATGAGTTGTTTATTGACGAGCTCGAGCATGGACCCCTCTGTGCACTGATGTCTGAGTGCAGAGAGAGGCCCCCAGCACAGAGTTACAGCACCTTTTATATGTTCTTTGGTAGGGGTAAGGCCTCAGTATGTATTGGCAATGAATCAATACACCACACAGGAAATTTAAATCATAATTCTAGTGGATGATTGGCGCAATACAAAGTGGGAAAAGGACTGGGGCTAATAACTCATCAGGCTAACGAGCTATTGTGCTCTAAACTAATTAGACGGTACTTCTAGGGTAACTTAGGAGAATTGGTTGCCAGATGGCCATTATCTCTGACCCCGACCCAGGGGAAGTGGTTGCCAGGCAGCCACTATCTCAGATCCTAGGCCTGGGAAAGTGGTCTGGAATGTGTATTTTGTCAGGTACTCCCTGCCAGAGGGTTGTTAATTTAAGCTCCAGATCCGGGAGTGTCTGGGGCTCAAGGGCAGGTAGAATAGCAGCTGCATTCTTCAAGCAGGTCTAATACAAAATGGCAAATACAGGTCTATCTGGTTATATATATCACACTTCTCACTGAAGGCAGAGGATGGGCAGGAGGAGGACACTGAAGCCAATGCAGAGGAGCATTCTGGGTAGGCTGGCCATCTCCAAGATGGCACACAGCAAGCTTGGATGGGAAGACCTTCACCCCTCCCTACACGTTGCTCTCTGGAGGAAGTGCTCACATGTGATCCCATCTCTGTGTGGAGCCTGTGCTAGCCCTGCAAGACAGACCCCTGGGGCTAGCTTGGATGTCTCCACCAGGCCCACATGGCCCTGGCTGCCTTTAGGCTCCTGAGCTCAGAAAGTTCTTCCTAATTCTATGGTCGGATTCTTCCCATTCTCTGTCCTCAGTGTCTGAAGTCTTCTAGTTTTCCCTCAGAACATAGACTGGCTAGATTCCACGTGACCCTTCTGTGGATCCCAGCCACTCAGAGCCACTCCAGACTCCAGGGTCCCCAGGTTGCCTGTTCTTGTCTTTCCCTCCATTTCCTGTGTCTTCTGTTCCTTAAGAAAGGGTTGGGGGGCTGGGAAGGTGGCTTAGTGGTAGAGCGCTTGCCTTGAATGCCCGAGGCCCTGGGTTCGATTCCTCAGCACCACATAAGCAAGAAGAATAAAAGCTGGAAATGGCGCTGTGGCTCAAGTGGTAGAGCTCTAGCCTTGAGCTGAAGAGCTGAGGGACAGTGCCCAGGCCCAGAGTTCAGGCCCCACGACCAGACCCCCCCAAAAAGAAAGAAAGAAAGAAAGAAAGGATTGGATCGGAGCAGCCTGACTCTGTAGTTCATGCTGTCCTGGGGTGCTGCCTGCTTGGCGTGTATGTTCACATCTAGAAAGGAGAAATGGTTCCGTTTGTTCACAGCCCGGCTTTCTGGATTCCCAGGGAAGTCTGCGGACCTCACTTTATCTTCAGAAGGCTCCAGCCCTCCACTTGGTAAGCGCATCTCCCCTCTTAGCCTCCATGTCTTTACCTAGAGCAGAGTCCTTTCCTGGTACGGGGTGAAGCTTGATCTTCTTGGGTTCTGCTAGGCAAAACATTAGAGAGAGAGGGTGAAATATTACCATAAAGAGTCCAAAATCAGGCTGGGAATGTGGCTTAGTGGTCGAGTGCTTGCCTCGCATGCATGAAGCCCTGAGTACACAGAAAAAGCCGCAAGTAGTGCTGTGGCTCAAGTGGTAGAGCGCCAGCCTTGAGCTAAAGAAGCTCAGGGACAGTGCTCAGGCCCTGAGTTCAAGCCCCAGGACTAGCCAAAAAATGAAAGAGGAGTCCAAAACTGGCCAAGGATTTGGTGGGTAAGTCAAGATTTTCAGTAAGAGTCAGAGGAAGAAGTTTCCTTTCTCTCCACAGCCTTGTAACTTTCTTCTCAGTCAGGTGACAGGTAGAATATGTGTCTAGGGGAAGAGGGGCTATAGGAGGCCTGTATGCCACACATGGGAAGGGCACCGTGTTGACATGGAGCTGGCCCAGTGCTGGCTTTGGTGGGAAGGAAATAGGCATCTCAGCCAGTAGAGGAGGTTCTCAGAGACAGCTGACTGTGAGAAGCCAGGCTGGGCTAGAAGATGGCCTTTGCCAGTTACCTGCTCCCTCTTCCTGTCACCTTCTCCCACCTTTCTTCCTGCCAGGTCCAGCCCACCAGGACTACACCAAGGGGAACCTGATCCGGATATGTCTTGGTGTTACAATTCTGGCACTCCTGGCAGGGTTCCTGGCAAAGGACTGGCACAGCCGGAAGAAACCCCTGCTGCACAGAGTCAGAGCTGTGCAGAGGCCCCTCCCACTGCTCCCAAAGACCCCAAGATCCCATGGCTGCCCGCATGAGGAGGAGTCAGATGTGCAGAAACATAGATACCACCGTTAGCTCTCGGCAGTCATCACAGCCCATGGGTGGGGAGGTGGCGGGAGGAGTGGGGGTGAAGGGCTTCGGGGTCGAGAGGAAGGCAGGGCACCCTGCCCTCCTCTCTCCCATCAAAGAGTAGTGCCGGCATCTCCCCATTGTCTGTCCACTGAGTCTGAGGGAGGCCTGTTTGTGTGAGTTAAAAATTAAGGTTAATTTCATGTTACATGAACTTTGCCTCAATAAATATTATTAGAAAAATCCCTGCTCCCCACTTCTTATTTCTGTGTGGGGCTACCCGTCCTAGAGTCACTTGGGATTATTCTAGAAGAATGTCCCTTTCACTGTCACTGGGCCCAGCATCCTGGGATTGCCACCTCCCTGGAAATGGAAGCTAATTTGTGATTTGTGAGTGGTAAGCAGAACTAGGATAGAAAAGTCTCAGAATTGTTTTAACTGTGTAACCTGTGGTTAACAGGCCCAAAGGAATCTAGTACCAGTGCCCTGTTGGGATTTGTTAAAAAAAAACAGCACTGGTATTACTCAGGTGTTCACGATGTTATTGAAAATGCTAGGGCATTGTCATGGATCTCATTTATTGCGTGTTGGTTTCCTGCTTGATTATTCTGTGCAGTGACACAGAGATCCATGTTGACTTTATAGGGAGATGGGTGAATACTAGCTGACACCGTAATGGCACAGAACCCCACGCAGCAGCCTTGGGCAGTGATTGCATTGTGCTTAGGTCAAGGGAAACACCAGTCTAAGAATTCAGCCTGGGTGCTGTCCCTGAGCTGTTGTACCTTGTTTTGCAAGAACAAAGAGGCAATGATAGGGGTCCAAAACTGAGCTAGGGGGTGCAGCTCCACGGTAAAGTACTTGTCTAGCATGTGTGAGACCCTGGGTTCAATACCCTAGCTGAAAGAAAAAGTTCCAAATATTGTGGGTTTGTAGAAGTATTTGGTTGAGTATTTGTCAGGCAGTTATCTGTGTAGGTCCAAATATACCAGAATTGGCTAGGGATGTAGCTGAGTTCTAGAGTACTTGCTTAATATGTGCAAAGACCCAGATTTTATGCTCAATACAAGGAAAAAATAATACAGAATCAAGTGAAGATTGGTAGAAACCATACTCAGTCAAGTCGAACACTTACTACATTCTTTTACCCTGGCAGAGTTCTCTTCAAATAAAATATCTCCTCTCAACCAGGTGCCACTGGTGATGCCTATAATCCTAGCTACTCAGAAGACTGAGATCTGAGGATCATGGTTCAAGGCCAATCCAGGCAGGAAAGTCCCTGAGACTCTTATCTCCACTGAAAACTGGAAGTGGCACTGTGGCTCAAGTGGTAGAGCACTGGCCTTTAGCTGAAGAGCTCAGGGATAGTGCCCAGGCCCAGAGTTCAAGCCTCACAACTGACCAAGAAACCCCCCCAAACAAGAATCCATGAGGAAACAAAGTCTCTATTCATGAACGTGCTTGCTTTTATTTCCCTCAGCATATTAGTGCTAAGACATTTCACACCCAATAGTGTCAAGTGACATGTGCTCATTTTACATCCACTAGGGGAGAAAGAAGGCTTGGACTTCGCCTAGCTCGTCCACGTGTGATGTTTACCGTGGGTAGAGGCCTCTGACCTCGGAGGATGGATGGTTTTTGCTGGCTCAAGCAGGGAAATCCTCAGGTCTCCTTTTCCTGGGGTTTTGGTGGTCACTGTCAACAATCAGCTGGGGGTTGACATTTTGTATTGTTTTTATCAGCTTCTTCACTTCAGGATTCGCTTCATTTATTTTCAACCTGGGACATATGACACGGGAAGGGGGGAAAATGGTTAATATTGCTCCAGGAAGATGCATCCCAAGTTCATAAAGCTCTCATGGTTAGACAATGTCACAGATCTCATTTATATAGCACTGGCCCTGTCTTGATTCTTCTGTGCAGTGACACAGGGTTCCATGTTGACTTTGTAGGGAGATGGGTGATGTCTAATGGACACTGTGATGACACAGAACCCCACACTGCAACCTTGGGTGGTGATTGCATTGTGTTTCAGCTGACAAGAGACACCAGTCTGGAATTCAGCCTGGGCTCTGTCTCTGAGCTTTTGTGCTCAAAGCTGGTGCTCTTACCCCTTCAGCCACAACTCCACTTCCAGCTTTTTGGTGATTAACTGGAGACAAGAGTCATGGACTTTTTGGCCTGACCTGGTTTGGAACTGTGATCCTCAGATCTCAACCTCCTGAGTAGCTAGGATTATAGGTGTGAGCCACCTATAATGGCACCTGGTGGATTGTGTCCTTTTGACTCACAAGCCACCTTAAGGCTGAGATCACTGTGAACATACCGTCTATGTTCCTTCTACATAATTAGGATGTTAAGTCACCAGTCATCTTTGTTGCATCTGAGACTTTCAGGAGAGATGGTTTCCAGGGCTGATGCCGGTACCCAAAGCACTGGATGAGCCCTGTTTTGTGATTTCCCTAAGGAGATGGTGGCTGAGCACCGCTGCTCCCCTGGGTGAAAATCTAGGAAATCTGGATTTCCCACTGAGAACCGGCTTCATTCCAGACTCACCTTGGCCATCCGTGGGATGAAAGGAATGGACGATCAACCCTGGGCTGCGTGCAGATGGATGAGGCTGAGTGCCAGTGATGTCACGGTGCCTCAAACAATGCCACCACTCCCCTTGTCCCACATGCCGCCCCCTCCAAAAGAAGAGGGAGGAGTCACCGCATACCTGAGTATCTGCAGGGAACACCTTTGAAATTGCAAGGCTGTATACAGCAGCATTAATCCGTCAAATGCCAAGGTATTTTGTCCCAGATCCAGGGTGACCAGCCTCTGGTTTCCTAGAAGGGCCTCACTGAGCTCTTCGCAGCTGGTAGAAGTGATGGAGCAGCCCCACAGCCTGCGGGTGAGACGGGGGCCACGTGGGGATTCGGCCAGCGCTTTTGGGCAGAGACCAGGAAGAGCTGGTGAGTCAACCCTTTGCACGCGAGGTCCGTGGTGGACCACAGGGGCAACCTGGGTCCACCTGGAGCACTGTCCCCCTGTGGGCAGGGAAGGACAGGTCACCCCCAGCCGAAGGGCTGCCCCAAGCCTCACTCACCATAGACACTTGAGGCCGCACTGCGGGCTCTTCAGGGCCTGGCACAGGGCCCTCATGCCGGAGTCTCCCACCTGGTTCAGGCCCAGGTCCAAGTACTTGAGGCTCGCCCCCTGCTGGAGGAGCTGGGAGAGGTGCACGCAGCTGTCACTGCCCACATTGCAGTGCCACAGTCTGGGGGGGACACACACAGGGCACCTGGTAAGTCCTGGCCCGTATGAGGTACAAGGCCATCATTATGCACCCCAAGCTGTGGGTCTGACTCAAGCTCCAGAGCCCAGATGCAGGAACACCATCAGAGTTTGGGGGGGGACAGCTGAGGGAGTGTCTCCCTTAAAGATGGACAGCTCCCAGGCCTGCCTGGCATCAGCAAACAGAGAGCAGTGCCCAGAAGGGAGGACCATGCCTGAGGGTGGGAGGTGGGCGGGGCAGCCTGCCTGACTCTTGGCAGGGTCTGGTGCTATCATGAGGTCTGTAAATGTGGAGGCCGAGTGTGAGAGTCCTCAGGAAAAGAATGTGATGTCGGAGAGAGACTCTGGGACCAGACCCTTTGCTGCTGGCCTTGAGACCAGAGGAGGGGGCAGTGGGCCAGAGAGGAGGAGGGATGGGGTGCTAGAAAAGAGCCCAGTAACAACCATTTCTTTTTTTGGGGGGGGGCCGGTCATGGGGCCTGAACTCTGGGCCTGGGCACTGTCCCTCAGCTCTTCAGCTCAAGGCAAGCACTCTACCACTTGAGCCACAGCACAACTTCCGGCTTTTTTTCTTTTTTCTTATGTGGTGCTGAGGAATCGAATTCAGGGCCTCATGCATGCAAGGCAAGCGCTCTACCACTGAGCCACCTTCCCAGCCCCAAGTAACAACCATTTCTGATGGATGCCCTCCAGAACCCTAATAAACCTGAGTCAGATGGCAGCCATTAAGGGTAGAGTGGCTTAGCACATGCACATAAGTCCTCAGATCCATTCCCAGTCCACATGGACCCCCCACTCCCCGTGTGTGTGTACCCTCCACCAACACCGCGGGGACTCACACCAGGCTCTGCAGTTGGCAGTTGGAGTGATTCAGGCCCTCACACAGGATTTTCACCCCGTCATCCCCGAGGTCATTGTCGGCCAGGCTCAGGTGCATCAGCTGCTGGCTGACGATGAGGGTGGAGAGGAAATCCTCACAGCAGGCCCGTGTGAGCCCGCAGTTCTCCAGGCTGTTGGAGGGGTGCATGGGATGGGGGTGGGGGAGGGCGGTGAGACCATTCCCCCCCACTCAGCCTTCTGGGCCCCTGTGGATGTCAGCCCCATCCCAGGCTGGGAGCAACGATGGAGGGGGGGAGAAGGCCCCCCCCCCGTGTCTTGCTCTTTCTGTAGCCTGGGTGCAGCCTGAGACTCACGTCAGCTTCCGCAGGATGCATTCTGGCCGCCTCAGGGTCTCGCACAGCAGCGTGGCACCCCGGTCCAGGATCTCATTGTTGGAGAGATCCAGGCCCGTCAGGGGGCTGGCTTGGATGGTCAAGAAGAAGTCAGCCCACTGCTGAAATGTGGCCGAGCAAGCCCCCAGCCTGAGGGAGAAGTGGAGGCCAGTCACGCTCCAGCCTCCAACACCTGTGGAGTGCCTTCTTGGTTCATGCTTGAACTCATTGCTATGTACCACCGCCCTGGTGATCTGAGGCCCTGGTTGCCCCGGGTGGCACAGTGTGACACAGGGATGCAGAGTCACACTGTAGATGTCACACTGTGGATGTCACACTGTGGTCCTAGGACTGCAGATGGCAACACCGACTAGAAATGCAAATCTGCAGCTGTTTTGCCTCTGGGCAAAGGCCAGCTAGTCATAACTTTGTGTGTGTGTGCATGCATGTGTGCGTGTGCACACATGTGCACCAATACTGGGGCCTGAACTCAGGGCCCCGCACTCTCACTTGGCTTTTTGCTCAAGGCTTGTGCTCTACCCCATGTGCCACAGCTCTGCTTCCTGTTCATTGGAGACCAGTATCTCACACCCTTCCTCCCTAGAGTCATTGCACAGCCTCACCGTTTCCACTCAAGGACCACACTCAGTAGAATCCTCACTGCCCTCTGCCTCTGGCCTGCTCTCCAAGACACCATCCTTGACCTTGACCAGCTTACACCGGCAGGCTGATGAGTGAGCAGGGGGTGGCGGGTGGGGTACCTGTGGTCCTGCAGGAGGATGGGCAGGGGGTGGCGGGTGGGGTACCTGAGGTCCTGCAGGTGGCATTTTGGGTGCATCATGACTTGGCTCAACAAGGGCAGCAGGTCCCTGTGGCTGTCCCCTTGAAGGGTCAGGTTCACGAGGGCCTCGGAACAACAGAGGCAGCTGCACAGGCTGAGCTGCGCCTCGGCCGGGGAAATATTACTGAGGCTAGGGAACAGAAAACGAAGAAGAGAAGCTAGAGTTTTTGTATTCTTATTGTACATTAAGTAGGGAACAAAGGGCTGCAATATAGTTTAGCTTGAAAACTTTACAATATTTGTGTGTGTGTGTGTGGGTGCACACACACACACACACACGGCTTGAACTTGGGGCCTTTGACTCTTTTTTTGTTGTTGGTCATGGTGCTTGAACACTGGACATGGGTGCTGTTCCTCAGCTCTTTAGCTCAAGGTGAGTGCTCTACCACTTAAGCCACAGTGCCACTTCTGGTTTTCTCATGGTTTATTGGAGATAAAAGTCTCATGGACTTTCCTGCCCAGGCTGGCTTTGAACCATGATCCTCAGATCTCAGCCTCTAGAATAGCTAGGATGAAAGGTGTGAGCCACCGGCGCCCAGCTGGGCCTTTGACTTTTCCCCTTCAAGGCTGATGCTCTATCACTTCTTGAGCCACAGGACCACTTCCAGTTTTCTGGTAGTTCGCTGGACTTCCCTGCTTGGGCTGGCTTTGAACTGCAATCCTCAGATCTCAGCCTTCTGAGCTGTTAGAATTACAGGCATGAGCCATCAATGCTCAGCTTGGTTTTTAGTTTGATACAGGGCTGGGTGAATCACTCACATGGAAGAACACTGGCCTGGCAAGCATGAGGGCCTGGGCTCAATCCCCAGCAGGGCACAAACAATGACTCCGAGAGATGCTCCCTCTTGACAAAGTTAAGGACCCAGAGCATCTCCATTTCCTATAACTTGGGGTACCTGGTTTGGATTCTAGAATATTCTGCCTATATCACACTCATGAGAGTCTTGGTGGCCCCCATGGGACTCCTGACTGGGGGGGAGTGGTCAGCTGACTTACACCACCTCCTGGAGACTGTAGGCAGAGGCCAAGTGTTCACACAGAACCGCCACGGAGGAGTAGCTCAGGCAGCTGTGGTGGATGTCCAGTCTGTTCAGATTCTGGTTTGAGAAAAACATGGTGCAAAGATCTGTCCAGAGAGCAAGCAGGACCTGGTCATCCTCGGGCCTGTGAACAAGAGTGATTCATGAAGCAACCCTGAGGACCGAGAAAAAGAAAACAATGATCCATGTTCATTCCTCATGGACAAAGCTTTAATGTTCTGCTAGAGGTGAGGACAAATGGGGACGGTGACTTGGGAAGGACACAGAGACAGCCAGTGGAGGAGAGATAGCCCCCCTCCAGAGTGCCTCTGGCCCAGTGCCTCCCCGGGCCTTGCCCTGAACCTTAACGGGAGGAAAGTAGGCATGAGGGAACATTCTGAACATGAGTCAGCGAGATAGACGCATCTGGGCCTCTCAGCTAGAAACCCTGGGATGAGATGAAGGATGGGAGACCCTGGGGGAATTGACTGGAGGCTAATCTCCCAAGCAGGGGAGAACAAAATTTTTGTGTATGTGTGCTAGTTCTGGGGCTTGAACTCAGGGCCTGGGTGCTGTCCCTGAGAGTCTGAGCTCAAGGCTGGTGCATTACCACTTTGTGCCACAGATGTACTTCTGGTCTTTTTGGTGGCTCACTGGAGATAAGAGTCTTACAGACTTTCCTGCCTGGGGTTGGCTTTGAACTGAGATCCTCAGATCTCAGCCTCCTGAGTAGCTGGGATGACAGGCGTGAGCCACTGGCCCCTGGCTGAGAGCAGAATTCTTACCTGTGGCCTTGAGCTGTGGATGGCAGATGAACACCGTCCTCCGAGAACAGCCCCCTGGCCACCTGCACCGTGAGCCTGCGCAGGCCCGGACAGTGCTTGAGACAGAAGGACGCGTGCAGGAGATGCTGGCGGCTCTTCAGGATCACAGACATTTCCTCAAAGGGCGCCAGCGCCTCCGCCACCAGCTCCTCATCCTGAGATTCGTAGAGCCAGCCCAAGACCTCGCTCTGCTCCATCTGCAGGAGGAAGGGCCTGCTCTCCTCCGCCCCACACCCCAGCAGCTCCCGTCGGATCTCCAGGTCCATGCGGCAGCCAAAGGCCGCCTCCAGCTCCTGGGCCCTCTTCCTGTTCAGGAGGCCGAACAGGAAGCGGCCGGCCTGGGCCAGGTCGGGGTTCCGCGCATGCGCCTCTCTGGAGAGCAGCTTGCGCACGTCTTCCGGGTTGCGGCTGCTGGGCTGGCGGCCTTGGCCTTCCCTGTCCTGGGGCTTCAGGATGTAGAACAGGGCGGCCAGAAGCTGCTGGACGCTGGGGTGGACGAAGTGGTAGCACCAGCGGCAGCCCCAGTCCTTCCGGATGATGTGATTGGTCAGGAAGGGCTGGAGGTGGGCCTCCTGCATCCCGAGTCTCTTGAGGTCCCCGGTGTGGAAAGTGGACTGCTGCGCGGTCAGCATGTGCGCGGCCAGGCAGCACAGGGTCTCCAGTTGGGCAGCCGGGGCTGGGCCCCTGGCGCGGAGCTGGCGGTGGAGGAATCGGAGAATCAGGGCGGTGGGGCTGTGGCAGGCTGCCGCGGGGTCCTCGCCCCCCTCCAGCAGCGGCTTCAGACACGCGCACAGCAGTCTGCATGCGGCGGGCATCCGGCTCATGGCTAGCAGGGCTTCGTTGCTCCGCACGGCCGCCAGGGCTCTCTGGGCCTGGGCCTGGTCTCCGAAATGCCTGCGGAAGTACTCCCACGTCTCCGTCTCCGAGAAGCCGTCCACGTTCACCAGGACCGGCTGCTCCAGCAACAGCAGCAGCTCCTGCAGCGCCCGGGGCCGCGTGGTGACCAGCAGGGTGGCGTTGGGCAGCAGCATGCGCTTCAGCAGGCTGCTCAGCAGGACCGGCACCGGCTTGCGCTGCCCCCAGTGCGTGGAGATGCCCCGGATCATCTCCCCGGGCCCATACCTCAGCTCGTCAAACCCGTCCACGATGAGCAGCACCTCCTCCGCGCCCAGCAGGGCCCGCAGCACGTCCTTGTTCATGTCTGGGAGGCCCTCGAAGAGGAGTTGGTGCAGGTTCTTGACCCGGTGGTGGCGCAGCTCCTTGCAGCTCAGATAATGGGCCCACTGGAAGGCGGGGCCCAGGCGTCCCTCGGCCCAGTCCAGAATTAGCCTCTTCACCAGCGTGGTCTTTCCGGCGCCCGTGGGTCCCTGCAGCACCACCGCGCGTGGCCCGAGGAGCCCTGGCCGCCGGAGGGGGTCGCACAGCCGGAGGAGGCTCCTGTAGCTCTCTGTGAGCAGGTAGGACTTCTTGTACTCCCCCGGCCAAAAGTTGTTAGCCCACAACCTCTGGAATTTCTTCAACACCATTTTTCTGTATATGTCTTCTACCCACATTGGTAGGAAGGTAAGACAGACAGACAAATAGACAGACAGACAGGGCATGGTGCTGTTACTCCTTAGGAAACCTACAAAAAGGATCTATTTAGGTGTAGTAGAAAGGTGACATCGGACACTAGTGTCAACTCACTACAATGTACCAGACAGGATGGATAAATTGAGCAGTAAAATCTCTGCTCTGAAGTTATTCTTCAATAAAGCCACGTGCTGTTACACTAGTCAGGACACTACTCTTTCTGGACCACACGTGACAGACGTCTCCACTTTCTCATCTGTGAGTTGCTATTGTTTCAGTTGCAAAGAAAAACAAAAACACCGGGAAAATCCCCAGTGGCATCCATTTTCCTGAACATGTTATGATTCCTTGTTTCTTTATGCCCAAGTAATATTCCACAGTTCCAGCTTTTTTTCTTTATTCATCTTCGTTCTTTTCTACTGCTTTGTACTCCCTTCAAGTACTTGGCACACAGGAGTGGAAATACCACCATGAACCTCCCTTGCACCACTGGTCAAGGGATGATGGCATTGAGAAAATTCAGCCATCAATACTTCCTACATAACATGGGAAATTGAGAAAATGGAGAGGGGCTGGGAAGGTGGCTCAGTGGTAGAGCGCTTGCCTTGCATGCATGAGGCCCTGGGTTCGATTCCTCAGCACCACATAAGCAAAAAGAAAAAAGCCGGAAGTGGTGTTGTGGCTCAAGTGGTAGAGCGCTAGCCTTGAGCTGAAGAGCTGAGGGACAGCGCCCAGGCCCAGAGTTCAGGCCCCATGACCAGACCCCCCCCTCTCCCCCAAAAAAGAAAAGAAAATGGAGGGGAGGAGTGAGGAGGGATGGGGGAGGGAGGGAGGGAGGGATGCTGTCCATTAAGACGCCTTGTACTCATAAGTTGGTTTGTGGCAATCTGTGGAGTGCTAACTCCTTTGTACTACTACTACTTGAAGATGGCAAAAAATATATAATTCTAGGGCTGGGAAGGTGGCTCAGTGGTGGAGTGCTTGTCTTGCATGCATGAAGCCCAGTTCAATTCCTCAGTACCACCTACACAGACAAAGCTGGAAGTGTTGTTGTGGCTCAAGTGGTAGAGCACTAGCCTTGAGCAAAGAAGTTCAGGGACAGTGCCCAGGTCCTGAGTTCAAGCCCCAGGACTGGGGCAAAATATATATATATTCTAAAAGTAGAAATGGCAGGGTCTGAGGGACACCCTAGACAGCATTCTTGTACCTCCCTGGCAGCTGAATTCTAATACTCTCGGGGATTCCCCGTCTCTTCTGTTCATGATGTGGGAAATGGGATTGGAGGAGGAAAGAGGGTTTGCTTGCATTTTCGAGACCAACCTGGTTTTCTCTTGTTCACCTTTGCTTGTTTCCCCAGGAATAAAAAACACTCGTGTGGGGTCATCAGAATCCCTCCCAGAGTCATGGCTACGTCTGGAATTAAACACAAAAGGAGGTGGTGGGCCGGGGTGCCTGGGTAGGATTGCTGGAGAGCCCTGTGCCGTGGCAGGTGCCAGTGCTCAAAGAACCGTCGATGCTCAGTTCTGACACGTGTACCCACCGGGGCTACAGAACCACTGTAGACAGAGTGGCCATGGCCCAAACCACCCTTCAGTCAATACTATCTGGAGCCAGGCATTGCTGGCTCATGTCTGTCATCCCAGCTACTCAGGAGACTGAGATCTGAGGATCAAGGTTCAAAGCCAGCCTGGGCAGAGAAGTCTGTGAGACTCTGATCTCCAATAAACCACCAGAAGATGGGAAGTGGTGCTATGGCTCAAGTGGTAGAGTGCTAGCCTTAAGCTGAAGAGCTGAGGGACAGCGCCCAGGCCGAGTTCAAGCCCCACGACCGAAGGGGAAAAAAAAAAGGATTTGGAGCCCAGGTCTTTTTTTTTTTTTGTCTATTCTGGGGCCTGAACTCTGGGCCTGGGCACTGTCCCTCAGCTCTTCAGCTGAAGGCTAGTGCTCTACCACTTGAGCCACAGCGCCAATTCTGGCCTTCTCTGCTTATGTGGTGCTGAGGAATCGAACCAGGGCTTCATGCATACAAGGCAAGCATTCTACCACTGAGCCACCATCCCAGCCACCCAAGTCATATTTTTAAATTCATTTGTGATGTCAAATCACTAACCCCCAAAGCCTTTTGGCCAGGATGAGAAAACTTTTCCTTTCCCTTTTTTTTTAATTTTCCTGTGACTTTTTTTTTTTTTGGTCAGGTGTGGGACTTGAACTCTGGGTCTGGGAGCTGTCCCTCAGCTCTTCAGCTCAAGGAGAATGCTCTACCACTTCAGCCACTTCTGGTTTTCTGGTGGTTTATTGGAGATAAGAGTCTCACAGACTTCCCTGCATTGGCTGGCTTTGAACCGTGAGCCTCAGATCTCAGCCTCCTGAGTAGCTAGGATGACAGTGATGTTGGGATTAGAACTCAAGATTCACACTTGCTAGTGCTCTACCACTTAAGCCATGCCCCCCATTCTTTTTTGCTTTAGCTATTATTATTATTTGGATAGGGTCCAGTGTTGGTCCCTTTCAGGGATGCCCTGGACTGGGATCTTCCTCCTGTTATTTCTCAGGCAGTTGAAATCATGGCCGTGTACACCATCCCCACTTGTTGGGTAAAATGCCGTCTCACTAAGTTTTGCCCAGGTTTAGCTTTGAATCACAATCCTCCTGACCTCTGCTTCCCACCCCAAGTAGCTGAGATTACAGATGTCAGCCACTCAATTCAGACAATATTTCCTGCCTCCCTGACCATCTTGCCTCGTGCTTTTAAAAGCACAGACACAATGACAGGTAATGAAACTGAATGGAGGTGCATACCTGTAATCCCAGCATTTGGCAGGTAGAGAATCATGACTTTGTGGCCAGCCCAGGCTCCAGAGTGAAACTGTGTGCACACATATGTACGTACAAATGGGCACACACATTCACATATGCATTGTAGTACACAACCTACAACCTTAGTCACTCAGTGTAAAATCTTGGATTATTAAAAGCGACCCCCCACCACATGCTGCAATCAGACACAAGGCATGAAAATTGTCTGTGTGGTTAACTTACTGAGTTCTGGACCAGCTTCACTAGAAGAGCTTGAGGAGGCGTCTGAAAAAGGAAGGGGTGCTGGATGTTTGCATGGTGTACACCTGACACTGGCACAGTCATAAGCCCCCCTCTGTACCTCCAGCTCCAGATTCCTCATCTCCAGGGGTCAGTAGCCTACAGGAGGCTGAAGCTCTCACCTGTCCCCAAAAGACAGACCACATTAGGCTAAGGAGTGATCTCTACCTGGAAGAAAATTGGTCATTTGAAAAAAGAGCAGCCACGGGGCTGGGAAGGTGGCTTAGTGGTAGAGTGCTTGCCTTGCATGCATGAAACCCTGGGTTCTATTCCTCAGCACTATATAAGCAGAAAAAGCCAGAAGTGGCGCTGTGGCTCAAGTAGTAGAGCGCTAGTCTTGAGCTGAAGAGTTGAGGGACAGCGTCCCAGCCTATAGTTCAGGCTCCACAACTGACAAAAAAGAGAAAAAGAAAAAAGAAAAAAAGAAAGTCAAAGACTTAAAAAAAGAGCAGCTGGGTACTGGTTGCTCACGCCTGTCATCCTAGCTACTCAGGAGGCTGAGATCTGAGGATCAAGGTTCAAAGCCAGCCCTGGGCAGGAAAGTCCATGAGACTCTTATCTCTAATAAATCACTAGAAAACCGGAAGTGGCACTGTGGCTCAAGCAGTAGAGCACTCACCTTGAGCTGAAGAGCTGAGGGACAGTGCCCAGGCCCAGAGTTCAAGCCCCATGACAGACAAAAAAAAAAAAAAAGGACAATCATTTCTTTTTTTAAAGGCTGAGTAATATGCTTCTCCTTCTTCCTTGTCTGGCCTGTGCTGGGGGCATGGCAAGGGCGGTTCATGCCCCCTCACACTAGCCACTGGAGGAAGGGAATCTGGGTGTGCTGGAAAATGAGAACAGTGAAAATTCCAGATGACATTGAGAATGGGATCGTGAACACATTTCAGCTGACAGGGAGAAAGAATGAAGATGCGAGACCAGAGATTGACAAGCCATGGCACCAGCCACAGGCCGGAAGGACAGGTGTCCACAGACTTCAAGGTGCCACATTTGTGCCTGGGAAGGTTGGATCCCGAAGGGCTCTGTCATCTCTACCCATCTAATGCCCTCTGCGCCTTCCTCCCTCCCCCCCCCCGACTTGGTGCCGATCCTCCCTGCTGACCAGTTAGCTCCTCCTCCACCGTCTTGGCCAAGTCAGCCCGGTTGATGTTCTCAAAGATATTCACGGCCACCCTCTCCACCCAGGCTGGGGGGCAGTGGGTGGTGAGGATCTCCACCAGATCCTTGGCGCTGGCTTCAGTCATCTCTGCCTGGGGGACATCCTGGAGCTCATGTTGCTGGGCAAAGAGGCCAAGCTGGGACTTGAACTCGCTCAGCTCCTCCTCACACAGCTGCTCCAGGAGAGCCTGCAGGTTGAAACTCAGCTTGGGGTCTGCTGTGTCCACATCTGCTGCCATTCTGTTATGCTGTGAAAACTGAGCTGTACAAAAGACAGACAGACAGACCTTTCTCAAACCCTGGATACCTCTGCCCAGACACAGCTCTCCTCTTGCTCATTCTGCCCCTTTGGAAACTCCTCAAAGGAGGTTAAATTCCCTGTCTTGACAAAAGGCTGCTGCCTCCTCCTCCTTCTCCTCTTCTTTCTCCTCTTCCTCCTCCTCCTCCGCTAGTCCTGAGTCTCACGGACTTTCCTACCTGGGCTGGCTTTGAACCATGATCTTCAGATCTCAGCCTCTTGAGAAGCTAGGATTCCAGGCACCCAGCGAAGAGGCTAAAGTTTTACTTTAATGATGAAATGGAGGTCTACAGCCAGTTTAAGGGAAGGCTTGAAAATGAGTGATTGAAGGAGCCTGGTTTCAGTACACAGGTGAATGGGTGAGTTTCACTTTCAGAGGGTAAAACACACCTCTAGAAGACAGATATGAATCACCTGCATCTGAAGTTCTGAGGCTGGGTGGACTGGTCTCAAGAGGCTCCATCATCTCAGTTATGGGAGGCAATGCCTCCTTGAATGGAAGATAGATGCTCAGCAAAGCCAGAGTTCCCCAAAGCTCCAAGCATAGGACAGGGATGGCAGCATGCAGACTGTAGCCCTCACAACAAGGGGACCCCAGCTGTCTGCAAGTCTCTTGGCCAGTGCCTGCCACCTCCCTCCCCCCATCCCCAACCCTGGCCTGTGCACCTCTGACCTCACACCCCGGTTCCAGGAGGAGAAAAACGTGGTTCCATGTCCCAGAGAAGAGTTCTCATGGAGACCCCAGTTACCCTTTAAGGAGTGACATCCTGCATTTAAAGAAGAGAGGAAGAATTTCATCCTAGAGACAACCAAGTGAAGAAATATGGAAATGAAGCACGGCTCTTACCTCTCCGAAACTGGCACCAATGCAGAGTGTTGCAGGCAGCTCTGATAAAAAAGGATTCCTTTTTGCACCCCAGCCCTGTGATTGGTCCCCAGGAACCAGTCACTGCTCTGTGATTGGTCCCTGGAAACAGCCAGCTCTGTGATTGGACTTCAGGAACCAACAGGCTCTGTGATTGGTCCCCTGGAAACCACTGGCTTAGTGATTGGTTCCTGGGAACCAGCCAGCTCTGTGATTGGTCCTCAGGACCAGCACACTGCTGAGAAATTGAATCCCTAATGACTACCAATAAACAAAACTCGAGCTTCTTGCTCTCCCCTCCATGGTTATTGTCTGCAGCTAAGCTACCACCTCTGTGTCAGTCCAACTCATTTTTGCCAAGGGTACCCAAGTCTCTGCGCCCAGGTGTATGTCCTCCTTGTTTCCAGGTGCCTGCCTACTGAGCGTGCCTGTCTGTCCATCTGTCCAAGTGTACATCTTCCTGCTTCTCTCAGGAAACCCATTGCCTGTCTTATGTAGCAGGACAACAGAGTAGTCTTAGTACCAGGTCCTGGGCCTGCTGGACTGGCACAACAGAACAGCTTGGCTCTAAGCTGGGGCCCCTGACTTAGGGGCTTTGGAGTCCTTTAGATGCATGTGTGTGAATTTTTGTTTATTCTTCCTTGTAGTTATCAGCATCAGATGCGGGTTAAACTGACCTATCTAGCCATGATTTTGTGGCATCAGTTCCCGGTGACTCTGCTTTTAGGCCATTTTTTTTGGTGGGGGGGAGGAATCCCTTAAAAATGCCCCAGATGATTGTAATGGCAGCTAAGTTTAAGTGCTCCTCGCTTAGTACTTTCAGCTGTCTCCTGCCTTCCCAGATACAGCATAAGGCCCACTTGCCTTTCATGTTAAAAGTCCAGAAAAGCCAAGCTCATCTGTTTTACACTAGCAATATTAATTCTGTAGGTATAGAAATAAGAGTGCTTGTGAGAGTTTGGGGTTTTCCCTACAATTTTGGATTTTCCAGATTGCTTTTATCATATCAGAACCAATATACCTGTATCTACATATCTATTTCTGTGTCTTATGAAGAGTCACTAGAATAATACAGTATGGCATAAAACTAACACAAGAGAATAGCCCCAACCCAGCAAGACAGCATAATTCCTGCCTGAGATCTAAAATTCCATGATTGCCCTGTGTTGGAGTGGAGAGCACAGGAGAAACACATTTTTACCACCAATACGATTCAGCATAGGCAAAGCATCATTTTGATATGTAATCACTAATAAAAACAATTTTGCTAGCCAGGTGCTGGTGGCTCACTTCTGTAATCCTAGCTACTCAGGAGGCTGAGATCTGAGGATTGTGGTTCAAAACTAGCCCGGGAAGGAAAGTCTGTGAGACTCTTATCTCCAATAAACCACTCAAAAAACCAGAAGTGGTAGAGCACTTGCCTTGAGCTGAAGAGTTCAGGGACAGCTCCCAAGCCCAGAGTTCAAGCCCCACCACCAACCAAAACAAAACAAAACAATTTTGCTATTCTGTGCCTCAGTCTTTCATACTGAAGATTCAAAAGCTGGTTCTGTACTTCACACTTAACATCACATCTTGGAGTTTGTGTGTGTGGGGGACTCAACAAACCATGCTTCCAGCGTTCAGCACCCAAGGGTCAGCAAACAGAGCCTTCCTGATGAGCTGGCCCAGACCCCCGACAGGAAAATGACCTCTGACTATTTCTCACTCTGTCATCTGTGGCCTTCCCTTGTCCCTGCCTGTGTTCTGTTAATTTGCTTTCATGGCTCCCAGAACTCAGGGACATGAATTATATTCACCCACTTCTTTTTATTTATATATTTATTTGCCAGTTCTAGGGCTTGAACGCAAGGCCTTGTCACTGTTCCTGAGCTTCTTTTGCTCAAGGCTAGCACTCTACCACTTGAGGCACAGCATGATGTTTTCTGTGTATGTGGTCCAGAGGAATCAAACCCAGGGCTTCCTACATGCTAGGCAAGCACTCTACCACTGAGCCACATTCCCAGCCTTCATCCGTGTCTTACAGAGGGTGTGCCCTCAGTTCCTCCTCTGTGCCTACAGCTCCTCCTCTGCACTCTCAGTTCCTCCTCTGCACCCCAGCTCCTCCTCTGCACTCTCAGTTCTTCCTTTGTGCCCTCAGCTCCTCCTCTGCACCTCAGCTCCTCCTCTGCACTCTCAGCTTCTCCTCTGCACTCTCAGCTGCACCTCTGTGCCCTCAGCTCCTCCTCTGTGCCCTCAGCTCCTCCTCTGCACCCCAGCTCCTCCTCTGCATGCTCAGCTCCTCCTCTGTGCCCTCAGCTTCTCCTCTGCACACCAGCCTCTCCTCTGCACTCTCAGCTCAGCTCCTCCTCTGTGCCCTCAGCTCCTCTTCTGCACTCTCAGCTCCTCCTCTGCACCCTCAGCTCCTCCTCTGCACCCCAGCTCCTCCTCTGCACTCTCAGCTCCTCCTCTGCACTCTCAGCTC